CCCCCCACCCCCACTGCACAACCTCCTATTGTCAACTAAAATGTGAGATCAGTGGGGGTTTTTCGCGGGGGAAGGGGAACAACAAACGCGATGCGTTGAAATCAAGTATGGCCGATTGCGTTTCCAAAGCTTTCTTTCTCGGCCCCCTCTTATGCGACCGACAGATGCTGACCGCTGACAAAGAGAAAGTGGACTCGGGGAATGATATAATCCTTTGGTCAAGGTCAAAGCTAGCCCTCCTTCTGAACAGTAAAATGCACCAACAAAACTAACAATTATCCTTTCACTCCATCAGGAAATCCCTACGGATCCCAGATTGGAACTCGAACGATACTCTCCACTTCAGGAGATTAAGTCTCGTATTATGACTTCCTTCCCCTGTAAGGGAACCGTGAAATCCGCTCAGTGATTCTTAGAACGTTTTTTTTTTTAGGTATTAAAACATGCAAAAGCGGCCAATAATTTAGCAAAAAATATGTAATAGATTCTCAACATCAGGGAAGTCCCTTCACCTGTATTCTCCATATTAAATAATTAATGAGTCCTTCCTTCTTATATTCTCAATATTGATTTCAGTATACTTTCGCATTTGCTGACAGATCACTTTCTATACTGCAAGCGAACCAGAAGAGGAAAATAACGAATTTCAACAGTTCAAGTTGCGTTGATTTTCTGTTTCTTGATCAGAAACAGAATCCTAGCTTAGTGCTTATAACTTAGCATTAGTTTGCTGTGCATATGAATACAATGATAGATAGGGTCTTTCTGGTTTCCAGAGGAGCCGTAGTGTGTTACAAAAGTGCCATGGGCGAAAAAGTCGCCTGTGGTTAACTGACCCTCTAATGGACTAACAACTCCACGAGGGTGGGAGGGAAGGGGAAGCAGGTCGCCTCATTCTGGAATGAAACCGGCAGGATCTGATGATGTTCTCTTGGTTGCAAAGTGTCACGGTCATAGTCAGTCGACTCATGGGCCGACTTTAGCTTTCTTTTACGCTGTGCTTAAACATCAATTCTTGATCGAGTAGTACTTACAGCTTGCATTTGCCTTACTGTAAAGAATCGATTTTTCTGTAGTTCAGAGAGAAACTTTATTGCAATTTTTAAATTCCAAACTCTACTATGATTTGACTTGATGATGGGTTCTTCTCAATGTTTTAAAATTCGCCACGTGCTTTTATTTTTTTATTGCTGATTAGAAAGAAACAAGCCAGAACCGAAGGAGAGACGAGAATTGACGATGTTAGTGATACACAGGACATTAAGATAATTGAATAAGCAATTGAAAAGTAAATTTCTAGGTTTATAACCTGTAAATTTTGAAACTATAGATTTTCTTAGCACGAAATACATTTTGTAAAGTAGCTACGAGTAGATTCAATTGATGATGATCATTTGTTAATTTTTGGAGCTAGAGCTAGAATGCAAGTTAACCATTAAAAGCGGTATTTCAGGAATTTCCAGCAACTGTTAGTAAAGTACGTAGTGGTCCCTAGCCGTATAACGCCTGTTTTTTAGAGAGAGCCAAATTTTGTCCACGCATTTTCGCGATATAAAAGTGTCACCTCCGGTATTCAAAGAAAAATTCCTACACCCCCAAAATCCCCCCCTCCCACCCTCTACATTACGTTCCTACTGGTCCTTCCCTCATCGTTCGTGAGCCTACCTCATTTCCCATGAGCCGGCCTCCCTCAGCTCTCGGGACAGTTGCATCTGACCTCGTGTTTGAAATTGACTGGCAAGATGCCCTCTTTGTCTCTTTTTCCTGAAAAGACCACAGCTTTACCAGAGCTCTACCATGACAAAGAAGGTAAGGCACGACAAAAATAAGCTGTCATTTTTTCACGTTTTCCTGACACAATGTTACACTTCCTTTCCTCGTATCAATTGTTTATTAATGACAAGTTCATCTTGCCTTGATAGCGCTGACCAGAGATGGTGCTCAAACGAAAAACGAAAAAGTGTAAGATAACTTCTAATTACCGGAGCATAACATACATGAAACTTCGAAAGCCTTGATTTGGAGGAAAAGAAAGTACGCTAGCAACCAACCAACCCCTTGTTGGGTGGATCTGAACATTCTAACTATGATCTGAATTTGCGCATGGTCATTCAACATTTAATGTTCTTACGACATCCCGACGATTGATGGAGAGGGGCCTTCTGACGGATAGCGATCTCACACGAAAACAACAAACCTTCCCTCTTTTGCTTATCTTTCTATCCCCTTTTTTGACTTTTTTCCTCCTGTTTAAGAAGTTTCCTTTTCCTTCTTTTCCCTCTTTCCCAGGTCTTCTCGTGCTCTGTGTTCAGACGGAGAGAGCTTGGAAGGGGAAGAAAAATATTATACCAAATATGGTAAAATTCAAAATGGCGGCTGATCCAGACATCCATAAATCGAAGCGGCTGGAAGCAGAAGAGTATAAAAACTCCGAGCTCGCTCAAGAAGATGAGCTACCAACTCTACCGAAACACCACCTTGGGGAATAGCTTGCAAGAGAGTTTGGACGAGTTGATACAGGTAAGCTATTGTCATTCTTACGACGAAATAAGGAAACGCTTCCGACCAAAGCTAGATTCTTCGGGAAGGAACGGAAAGGCCAGTTAAGTCGCCACGTTTCGCCTTTGTAAAATGTTTTTCCAAATGAACGATGAAAGTCACTCGATTTTAATTTAAAGACCACTTTCAAGGAAACTTTAAATTTGCCTATTTCCAGTTCATCGTTTCATAACAGAGGGAGCCCGAACCAAAGAGAACTCGTGGATCTATTTCTGTGATTGCGAATTTCTTTTGTGAGCTCTTCGCCAGATTGTAAGCCCTGGCACAGAACTAGCAGGCTTGGAATGCCGACTAAAGCTGGCGTCTACTTGATGCGCACACTCTCGTCATCTAATCTACGACCAAAAGTTTTCCCGAAATTGTCTACAAATCACGATATTTTCGATATATTCTGGTCCAAACTGATAGCTTCTTGTAAAATCATACAGTATGTAGTTGGCTCTCATCGTTCGAGAAGAAAAACGCCGTCACGAAGACTGGAATTTCATCAGGGTTAAATCTTTGTTTCTATCAAAAAGTTAGGCGAGGGACTAGTTCCATTTGTTTTCTTAGCAGCTTTGCATTCAACCCTGTGAATTTCATGTGTGATACTAATTTGACCATGATGCCCCAAAGTTGTTACGAGCGCTGTCCTGAACAAAAAATTGTGTGAATACTAACCTCAATTGACTTGTATGATTTCGAATCTTCCCTACAAACTTTGCTGTACTTCTGCATTTGATAACGTTGTCCTGTCCTGTGGATTAATAGTACATGTATCATTGGGTTTCAACAAACTGCAGCAGTTTTTGTTTCAATCAGAATATGAATTTATATGACTTCCTTTTGATCAACTGAAAATGGTCATTTAAGTTATTGAGCAGTCTTTTGTACCATGTTCTTGTTTTGAATCAAAATTAACCAAAATTTTATAGATGCATGGCAATAATCTGTTTTATTTTTATTTTTATCATTTGCCTTTATTACATATTATAAGGGGGACAAAGCTAATTTACATAAGATGATGCATGGGAAATTTAAAATAGAAAAAGGAAAAGGGGAGGAAGTTTCAAGAAGCCATGGAGGCTCGTAGGTGAGGCTCCCTCTTTAAATTAGAGTCTAAGTTAGTTAAATTTTTCTTTAGTTAAGTAAAATGTTGTTTAACTTCATAGGCACTCCAGAAGATCCAATAGGGGATGTGGAAAATGTTTTAACATACAAACAGTTGTAAACTTTTCTTTAGAATTTAGTGGAAAACCATAACAATTGTGTGTTCATGTAGATATGAAGCACACAGGAAGCTTTGAAAGCATCTGAGAAGCGGAAGAGTTGTTTGAGGAGCTAAACCCTAACCCAACCATAGCTTCTTTGCATTCTTAAATCAGGCTAAAATTGACTGAGAAACATTTAGAGACAATAGCTCTATTCATATAGATACCAAACATGCCATTTAGAAGCAAAAAAAGCCAGATTTTGTTGTGTATATGCAACCTGCATGGGGTTGCAAGAGGATCACAATGCTGGAATTGTTGTTTACTCAACTTTAAAGCCAGAAAATTGGGAGGTGTTGTATTGGAAATTCTGAAAGTTGGCAGATTTGATGAAAAAATTTCTGTGAAGATTACTTTAAGGACATATCAACACCTAAAAATAATATCTATCAGGCAGAAGAATAGTCCAAAATTGGCAAACTTTCACTTTTGTTAGCAATTTCAGTTTTTGTTTTCCATCCATCATATGAATCACGTTTGGCAATCAATATTCTTGGCTTGAGAGCTGACTTTTGTTTGCTGTAACCCTTTAACTACCAAGATCTGATTGTTATTTCTCCCCACCAGCTGCTACACATTTCCTTGTAAATAAGTTAGGAGAATTTAGTGTTAGATCAAGGTAACAACTTCTGCCCGATAAGTTTGAGTATTCTCTTCACCTGTTTGCTGGATAATTTATGGATATTAAAGGGAGATGTTACATGTTTATCACTTGTGGGAGTTAAGGGTTAGAGGCTTAAAAAGACCATCAAATTTCAAATTTAGTGTCCTTCCATAGATTTCCTTGTCATTTAGAGCTTCTAAAAGTTATATTAATATGAATAGAATGGAAAACCCATCTTGTAAATCTCAATTGCATGGCCAAACTGGTCAGGAAATTCCAGTAAATCACTGGGGAAAATTTTCAGACTTGAGGCTTTTGTTTGCTGACATCATTAGTGTGCACAGTAGGATTATGAAGCACACTCGCACTATTGAATTGGGTTACCTGAATTTGCTAGCCACGCTATAATACCCCTTACCAGTGTGCTTTAGAGTGTACCAATATTCCTCTGGAGAATCTAGATATTAATCACATGCAAGACTGGCTGTGGTATAGTGATGTCATTATGAGAAAAGTGCATTATGAAATTGTTGTAAGCTCAAGAGACAAGATTTGTTCACTAACTATTTTTGTTATCCCATTAACAGTCACAACAGATAAGCCCCCAGCTAGCTCTACAGGTGCTACTACAGTTTGATAAAGCTATTAACCATTACCTCTCCAATAAAGTCAAAAGCAAAATTTCTTTTAAGGTAGGTAAAATATGCCAAATTTAGTTTTTAGCAGAAGTAATAACAAATTATTGATGCATTTTTAAATTGTCAAATTTCCCTTCTTTTTCAGGGTCACTTGAACACATATAGATTTTGTGATAATGTTTGGACCTTTGTGCTCAATAAAGTAGAATTTCGAGAAGTAGGAGAACTTGTCCAGGTGGACAAAGTGAAAGTAGTGGCATGTGATGGAAAAGGTTTGTGCCGTGATACAGCTTTTTACCAGAAACTTCTAATACTTTAGGTCTAAGTATGACCACAGACAACTAGCATTTTGTTCTTGTTATATATGTTTAATGACATAAAGAGATTGTCTTTTTCCTTCCTTTTTGTGTTTTGGAAATGTAGCTGACCTGTAAGGCTAAGAAGAGAATTTTTTGCCACAGGGAAATATGTATCACTTGTTAACTCCTCTTATATATTGCAGTTGCACTTCATTTTCATGAAGATTTGATT